GAATTACTTATTTTTTAAATGCCAGTTTATTTACAATGTGTATTTATATAGGTGTCTATGTCTAACATTAAATGAAAATCCCGTGCATGAACAACTATTGCCATGCACACTCGTCATTCAAGTAATCGTTTAGTGAGTAATAGGCTTTGCCCAGTAAATATGATTTAACAGATGTTTTGAATTTATTTAAGAGTAATTCCAGTATATCCTTTGGTATCTTATTGTAAATATTTGTACTCATTCCCATAAAAAACCAATTGACTTTTCTAAACGATACTTAGTAACAGTTCATTTATATCTATATATATATATATATAAGGTAACCGCTGTGTGTCTGTTTGTTACCTTTTGTTGACTGAATCGTATAATAAATTAATATATAAAGAGAGAGTGGACTGTATTTATTGAAAAGAAAATAATTAATGGAAAAGGAAGTAAAAATACGATTTCGACCTGGAAGAACGTCTTCCGATTCCGAACACCCCAAAGTAAGCAATGTAACACAAACTTTGTATTCATGAACGTCCCGATGATTAGTTGTTTATGGCCACGCACTCTACAGTGTATATTTTCATCAAAAACAATTATATTGTGTTAAATAATTCCTTAATTATCTTGTTTTATATAGATAAAAAAATAGCGTCCTTTTAATTGTTCTTATTTTATGTTTCATTATTCTTAGCGCCCCATAACACAAGCTCTAGCTAGATACAACCTGCTTAGATGGCAGGTTCTGTGTGAACCTTTTCTACTGACTGAATCGTATATAATACAATTTAACATAATAATAATATAACCTTGAACATTTCACAAAGCTATCCAATCGATCCATCTGTTTCTGAGATATACCACACACATACAAATGGACACGTCGTTATCATAATACCCCTTATTTTCGTCAGGGGTCAAAACTAACAATTACAAGTCAAAGACACGCTAATCAAGAGGAGATAAAATATAGTTATGCAACTAGTATCTGTGGGCAGAACTTTCTAGTTTATGATATTACGTATTCTGTGGTAGTGCGTAAAGTAAATTAAGTACCAGGGTTGCAAACTGTGCGAGAATTGTGATATACCAGATTTTCGGTATTCTGTAGTATGGCAATTATTCAATGTTATTAACAACTAGCTGTAGCCGCGACTTCGTCCGTGGAAAATAAAAGTAGCCTAAGTTACTCCTTATTACATCAGCTACCTGCCAATAAAAGTCCCGTCAAAATCGGTCCAACCCCGTAGGGTTATGCAAATGTTGAAATGAAATCATAATTAATCTATACATCTCTATACATAAATAAAATTGGAGTGTCTGTTTGTAATATTGAAATAACCGTTTTTTACTACATGCATATGAATATAAATACGGTACATACACTAAAATAACATTTTTTACCATTTTTGTCTGTCTGTCTGTTTGTTCCGGCTAATCTCTGAAATGGCTGGACCGATTTTGACGGGACTTTTATTGACACGTAGCTCATGTAATAAGGAGTAACTCGAGATATTTTTATTTTAGAAAATAAAGTTAAATTCCACGCGAACGAAGTCGCGGGAACAGCAAATTCAATATAAAGTTATATCGTTACATTTATTAATGTCACTATCCTACAAATACCAATGAATACATGCATTTTAATATTTATAATAATTATATAATGGCAGTTTATTAATAACATGATTGCGACCACGGACCGGAAGACGCAGCGTGGGAAGGCCTCCAGCAAGGTGGACCGACGATCTGGTCAAGATCGCTGGAAGGCATTGGATGCGAGCAGCGCAGGACCGATCGTCGTGGAGATCGTTGGGGGAGGCCTATGTCCAGCAGTGGACGTCTTCCGGGCTGCGATGATGATGATGAATAACATGATTATTTAATTAAATTAGTTCTAACTGGTAGTTATTATTCACACACTTAAACTTAAAAATGTAAAGTAATAATAAAATTATTTAAAAGAGCAAAACACAAGTTTCTTGCTCGTTCTTCTTGTGATGAGACAGCTTTCCGAATGAGCGGTAGATTAAAAAAAATGTGATGACTATTCAAAAGTGCGTTAATGTAAGTTTATTTGAATAAATGATTTTCTATTCTATTCTATTCTATTCTAAACAAATTATGTAATGTTATCCATTTTGCATGTAAAATAATATTTCACTGAGTAAAAACACCTATTTTCAGTCATTAATTTGTCTTTGAACATTTTTTTAATGTTGGTAACCCTGTTAAATACATACATGAGTTGGTAGTTGGTAGTTTCTGTCCGTCGATAAATACGTCAGTAGTAAAAGCAACTAATATTGGTTTAGTAGTACCACGTGCCACGATAGTGCTCTACTTTATGCCACAAATAGATAAGAAATAAGAAACTGTCAAGTTAATCGATATATCTATATAATAAATAAAAATCTCACATATTTGTCTCTGTGTTTGTATATTAATAAAACTATTTTTCATCTCTTAAGTAACAAGGGTGGTAAACAAAAAAATATTTATATTATTTTTTCTGTAGGTGACGTTTTTCAACTCTTAAGTAACAAGGGTGGTAAACAAAAAAATATTTATATTGTTTTTTTTGTAGGTCGTAAACCATTTTTCATATTAATAAGTAAACAAAAAAATATTTATATTATTTTTTCTGTAGGTCGTAAACCATTTTTCATACCTCTTAAGTAACAAGGGTGGTAAACAAAAAATATTTATATTATTTTTTCTGTAGGTCGTAGACTATTTTTCATACCTCTTAAGTAATAAGGGTGGTAAACAAAAAAATGTTTATATTATTTCTTCTGTAGGTCGTAAACCATTTTTCATACCTCTTAAGTCAGTAGGGTGGTAGACCCCTAAAAATTATTTATAATTTTTCGGACATAATTTTTATTTTATTTTTTATTCGGCTTTAAAAAGTACATACAACCCTTTTCACTTTTCTGCCATCAACCCCTATTTTTAATGGCGATACTAATGTATATGGCAAAATGATATTTACCTGGTCACGTAGTATATATATGTAAATACATATATCTACAATATATTTGACGACCTCGGTGGTCTAGCGGTCAAGCACACCGCTTTACGACCGATGGTCGCGGGTTCGATTCCTCGCACGGCACAAACATTTGAATCCATGAGTATGATTGTTTGTATCGGTCTGGGTGTTTTCTATGTATAATATGTATGTATTTACAAAAAAAATCTATGTATATGTATCAGTTATCTAGTATCCATAACACAAGCTCTAGCTAGCTTAACTTGGGTCTAGATGGCGCTGTGTGAATTGTCCTGAGATTATTATTATTATTATTATATTATTATATACATATTAATTCAGAAACAAACCCACGACCTGGTCAACGCTTAATGAAGGTTAAAAAAATGGTCAATAACTTTATTTTAATAAATATTACTTATATTTTCTATTCGATTCATGTTTCTATGAGAATTTATATTTTTAATATTGATTCATAGAAACAATCTTTATTGAAATAAACTTAACATACGCACTTTTGAATAGTAATTTTTTTTTTATAATACTACTTAATAAAGTTTTGTATGTATTATTCGTCCGTACATCATTACGTTCGGCCATCACGTAGGTCTACGTGTATATATATAAAAGAAACATATCAAGTCATACATATAACGTAACATCATAGTACTCACGTCCATAACTTTCCCAGCTGAGTTAGAGACGGCAAGTTCAAACATTTATTACTACGTGAGCATTTCTAATCTATACATATAAAAATGTGACTGAGGTCTGTCTGTATGTGAAAGATATGGCTACTGTTACTACAGGATTTTATAAAATAGTAGCCCAATACATTGTAACCCAATATAATATACTAGGTGTACAAGTATTATACATATAAACCTTACTTTTGAATTACTCTATCTATTAAAAAAACCGCTTCAAAATCCGTTGCGTAATTTTATTTTTTATTTATTTATTTATTTAAGCTTTGCAAAATCCGTAAATAGCGTAGTTTTAAAGATTTAAGCATACATAGAGACGGTGTCTGTCTGTCCCTATGTATACTGTATCTTGTTTTATTTATTTCAGGCTACTAGGCCCATATTATAAATACCTTATAGACTAACATACATATGAAATAATATAAAATTAAGATATTGAAATTGTCTGTGTGATCACGGCACTGACGGCGGCAATCTGCCACGGTAGCGCCGGTACACCACACCCTACGGCCAGTAGTCCTCCTTCATGAAGGTGGGCAGCATGTTGGGGACCCGGGCCACAAACGCCTTGAAACTCGCGTTGTGGCTCGACTCCAGCTGCGTCACCCTCAATGTCAGGTTACTCTTGGTTCGTATATAATCGACAATGTCATGCTCCTTAGTGGCGTAATGTAGACGGAACAGGTACATTGCTGTGGTCGGTGTAGCTGCACGCAGCAGGAAGTTGGGTCCAGTGAGTACAGTGCCACAATGATTCCTATTGACCCTGTTTGTGCCTATATCCGTCAAGAGTAACCTGACCCGGGCCACAAACCGGCCGGGTCAGGTTACTCTTGACGGATATAATCGACAATGTCCTGGTGCTTAGTAAATCTATACTGTGTAATATTATATTATCTGTGGTAGTATAGTAAACTAGCTGTCCCGGCAAACGTTGTTTTGCCATATAAATTAATAGCGCTATAAAAAAATAGGGGTTGATGATAGAAGGGTGAAAATTTAGGATTGTATGTATTTTTGTATGTTGTATCATAAAAAAATAGAAACTAAAAATTTTGTCTAAAAAATAAAAATAAAAATTAGGGGTTGACTAACATTTAGGGGGATGAAAAATAGATGTTGGCCGATTCTCAGACCTACTCAATACGCTCACAAAATTTCATGAGAATCGGTCAAGCCGTTTCGGAGGAGTATGGGAACGAAAACTGTGACACGAGAATTTTATATATAAGATATATTGCAATGTGTTATATATAATTTAATTGTAGTATAGTGTAAACCTTGTTGGTGACTATGATCTTCTTCCTCAGGGCTTCATACGTGTCTGTGCTCACGATAGTGGCGTTCTCGCTGGAGCGGTACCTTGCCATCTGCCACCCGCTGCACCTCTACACCATGGCAGGTCTGCGCCGCGCCTTGAAGATAGTGGCAGCACTATGGGCCCTCTCACTCCTCGCTGCATCACCGTTCGCCATGTACACCACAGTCAGCTATCACGATTATCCACCAGGTCAGTGAACACGTCTAGAAATAACTTTTATTGGAATGAACTTAGTAAGAGGCAATAGTTATTTTTGAACTTTCGTGTTTAATATTCGTTCATTCATAAACTTAAGAGCAACGCTCTTGTCGGTGGAGCTCTTGCCACTTTCTACGATCTTCCATTAAACTCTTTAAGCGTTGATACGACACGACTCCAATTCTGTCTTTAATTTGCTTGATGTAGCTGTGCCTTGGTCTTCCTCTCCACCTCTTTCCTTCTATCTTTCCCTCAATAATTAGTTTCAAAAATTCATGATGCCGTATCAAGTGCCCCGACATATTTCCTCTTCTACTTTCTATAGCATTCAAAGCCTTTTTTCTTTCACCCTGTTCTTCATTTCTTACTTTATCTTTCCAGCTTCTTTCCATTCTTCTCCAGTGTTTATGGCAATATATTTGCCATAAAATTCGTGTTAAGACCCGGTTAATAATATAAATATTTAATAAAAATTTGGAGATATTTTTGGGGGAGGCCTATGTCCAGCAGTGGACGTCTTCCGGGATGCGATGATGATGATGAATAAAAATTTAATATTAAGCCCTTTTGTAGTTATTTCTTTTTTATTCCATCACTCATTCGGAACGCAGACTCATTACAAAAAGAACGACAAAAAATTTGCGAGTTGCTCTTTTGAATAAACGAGTGGCCGCCCAATGGTCGAAATTCAACATAATTAATTACAATTAATTATAAGTTTGAACATTATTAAGCTTCTATTGTCAAAGACCATACTTTTATCTGTGTTAAATATATTTGGTATATATGGTAATGTGTGTAATGTTTGTCATCCGTCATACTCGTGAACGGGTGCTGCTGACTGGTCTGGTCTAATCACTATAAGAAATTCAATTGAGTTTCTTTCCAGTTTTTCTCAATTTGATCTGTATACTGAACTGGACGGTGGGGAAAAAATATAATATAAAAAATTACGTTCATAAACGACTAAAATGTCCTACATGAATAAATTATTTTGAATTTGAATAACTTAAATAATTATTTTATAACTTTCTATGATTGACGGTCTCGCTGGTATAGTGGTTTAGCGCACTGCCTTACTCCCGATGGTCGCGAGTTATATTACTGGCATAGTGCCAACATTTGTATTCATGAGTATGATTGTTTGTATCGGTCTGGGTGTTTTATATGTATTAACAAGATAATGTATTTACGTATTTATATCAGTTGTCTAGTGCTCATAATACAGATTCTGCTCAGCTTGAGACTAGATGTCGCTATGTGTATAGACCTGGGTTATCACTACATAGTGTAAAACAAAATCGCAGTCGCTGTTTGTCCGTCTCTATGTATGCTTAAATCTTTAAAACTACGCAATGGATTTTGAAACGGTTATTTAAATAGATAGAGTGATTCAAGAGGAAGGTTTATATATATATAATACATATACACACGACACAGTAGTCAGCTAGTATTATGATAAATATTATAAAGCTGAAGCGTTTGTTTGTTTCTTTGAACGCACTAATCTTAGGAACTACTAGTCCGAATTAAAAAATATTTTTGTGTTGGATAGTCCATTTGTCGAGGAAGGCTTTAAGCTATGTAATATTAAGCTACGACCAATAGGAGCGGAGCTGTAATGAAAAATATTGCAAAAGGTGGAGATTTTAAACGCGGACGAAGTTGCGCGGATCAGCTAGTATATGTATATCATATACACACGACTCAGCAGTCAGTATTGTTTACAGTTTAATGTAGTAAATAAAGGGACTCATAGTGTGCTAGCTTTTGCTCGCGGCTTTGCTCGCGGTAATTTATCCCCTTAAGGGTGGAATTTATCAAAATCCTTTCTTAGGCGATACCTACGTCATAGTAGATTTATGCATGCAAGTCTCAGCTTGATCGGTTTGATATTGACAAAGTTTCATACAAAATTTCATCCCCTATTTTATCCCCTTGGGGGTAGAATTTATCAAAATCCTCTCTTAGCGGATGCCTACGTTATAACATCTACCTGCATGCCAAATTTCAGCCCGATCCGTCCGGTGGTTTGGGCTGTGTGTTGATAGATCACCTTTGAGTTATATATATACTAGCTGTCCCAGCAAACGTTGTTTTGCCTTAAAATAAAAAAAAAAAATAGGGGTGGACTACCCCTAACATTTAGGGGGATGAAAAATAGATGTTGGTCGATTCTCAGACCTACTCAATACGCTCACAAAATGTCATGAGAATCGGTCAAGCCGTTTCGGAGGAGTATGGGAACTAAAACTGTGACACGAGAATTTTATATATAAGATAGATGTTAGATACGAATCTTGAAATATTCAAGTTTACGTCACAGGGCTGCGTGTGGGAGGAATAGACACGGACTGAGATTATACAACGGTCACATGTCAATGTTGTTACAGTACGTACTTGATGTTTTATTTATTTATCTGTCTTTATACAAAAAAAAAATAAAGAAATGTATGATGTAGAAATTTGTACGAAAGAAAACAAAACGGATGGTTTCTGTATGAGTCTATATGTATACTAGCTGTACCCGCGACTTCGTCCGCGTGAAATAGTGACCTTGACCTTATAATGAAAAGATATTTAGTAATTCAAATTCAAAAACCATTTAATCATGTTATTCGTGCAGGACATTTTAGCCGCTTATGAACGTCAAGTTTTTACATTATAATTTTGTTTTTCGGTCCAGTTCGGTATATAGATCCAATTGAGAAGAACTGGCAAGAAACTCAATTGATAATTTTTTTTAAAAGCCAGTTTATTTACAATGTATAGGTATTTATATAGGTGTCTATGTCTAACATTAAATGAAAATCCCGTGCATGAACAACTATTGCCATGGACGCTCGTCATTCAAGTAATCGTTTAGTGAGTAATAGGCTTTGCTCAGTAAATATGATTTAACAGATGTTTTGATTTGAATTTATTTAAGGGTAATTCCAATATATTCTTTGGTACCTTATTGTAAATTTTTATGCCTATTCCCATAAAATTTAGGGTTGTATATATTTTTTATTGCCATAATATAAATATATAAAAAAAATTGTTTAACAAATAAAGAAAAAGTATCAGAAATGTTAGGGGTAGACAAACCTATTCACTTAGCTCTACTGAATATGCATATAAAATTTCATAAAAATTTGTCAAGCCGTTTCGGAGGAGTAGGGTAACTACTAGTGTATGTAAGGTACACATAGTGACACGAGAATTTTCTGTATTATATATTAAATACTAGTGTATGGTTGTTTGTATTCATCTGGGTGTTTACTATTTAGGTTATGTATTTATGAAGAATGCGTAAAAGTATTCTGACTGTTGTCTAATACCCATAATAGAAGCTCTGCTTAGTTTGGAACAAGATGGCGATGTATAGATTAAGCATTATCTTACTTTTTACAATAAAATACCAGAGCCTGTTATAAATCTGCCAGAAAAAAGATTTAAATGTCAAATATAACAGTTCCGTTGCAAAAAAGCTTACTATAAAATTGAAGAATTCGTTAACGATAATAATGTTTTTATAGAAAAACTTTAAATCCATAGCACTGACAATATTATCTGATTACACTAATAATGATTGCGTAGCGATTTTTATGTTGATTATCGCATGCTTCTTACTTGTTATACTGTAATTATTTATATTAAAAAAAAATCTATTAAAAAGAGCAACACACAAGTTTCTTGCTCATTCTTCTTGTGATGAATCTGCATTCCGGATGAGTGGTAGAATCAAAATATGACTATTCAAAAGTGCTTGTAATGAGTTTATTTGAATGAAGATTATTTCTATTTCTATTTCTATTTGTAACACTAAACTTTACTACAGTTAGAAATTTACAAAAAATCAATACCAGGTAAGAATGGGGGTCTACCCAAAACCGAAAAATATAGCAAGGGGTCTACGACACGAAAAAGTATGGGAACGTCTAATCTAGACCCAAACTGAGTAGAGCCTGGAAATGTACATATAACATACATATTTGTATATAACCTTTTACTGCTTTTTTTGACCTTTTGCTGACATTTACCATCACATCAGCAAAAGGTCTACGTTTTCATGGAAAGACATTGCTTTCCTTTAAAACGTAGACCTATTGCTGATGTGATGGTAAATATTTTAACTCACGCTTACGTATCGGTTAAATTTCCATTTGGTGGCCGTTAACTGTGTATTTTACAGTCGACGCAAACTAGACCTAAGGGTTTTTTTCAGGTCTAATCCTCGGCTGAAAATACAAATGAACACTTCAGAGGTATCACGTTTCTTTCTGAAGTTTATATTACGGCATGAAAGTCGTAAAGCGTTTTACAATATGTTTTTACTATAATGGTGTTTGGAAAACCTGAATATCTCTCTAGGGTAGGGTTTGTTACACGATTCTTGCTTTGCTTGCTTGCTATTTTTGCTTAAATTTCTTTTAAAAAATATGTTTTTTTTATCCTCACAATAAATAAAGTTTTTATTAGTCATTTTTAAACTTTCGTGTTTAATATACATTATTTATATTATTAATTGACAGCCTCGGTGGTCTAGTGATTTAGCACACCGCTTTACTTTCCGATGGTCGCGGGTTCGATTCCTCGCACGGTACAAACATTTTTATTCATGAGTATGATTGTTTGTATCGGTCTGGGTGTTTTCTATGTATAATATGTATTTATATCAGTTATCTTGTACCCATAACACAAGCTCTGCTTAGCTTGGATTAGATGGCGCTGTGTGAATTGTCCTGATATATTATTTATTATTATTATTAATTATAATAAATATTCATTCAAAACCCTTTTATTAAACTTTATTATGAATAGATTATTAACCGGGTCTTAACACGAATAATTTTATGGCAAATAAAGGTATTTACCTCTCTCGACGTTTCGACTAGGTTGCACTAGCCGTGGTCACGAGCTGACTGGAGTAACAGCGATGTCAATGTAGATCAACGACATCAATGACCTGATTGATGTCGTTCAACAATCTAGTGACGGTAGATGAA